TAAGTTAAGCTGGACTAGCCAATGGGAAAACAAAATGAGGATGCCGGGGAGATGTTCCCAGAACAGTAGCATTCCTAATGGGCTAGGCCCTAGTCACGTGCAGTTCCCCAGATGTGGTTGGTGTGACCAAGGTTCCGGCATGTGACGGCTGCCTTCCTGGTACTTCTTGTGCTGTGAGGAGCATCCCCTCCCCAGTGCCGGGGGCAGTGGTCCTCTCACCCCCTTCAGAGTAAAGGGCCAGCAGTTGGCAGCCACAGGAAAAGTAGTGAGACAGGATAGTGAGGAGCATGAAGTGCCACCATCCCAGCCTCCAGTGTCTGGCACAGAATATGACAAGGAACTTCCGTGAACTGGAATCGTCCACATCTCGATACATGGGAGTTTCTGCTAGATATAATTTGGCTTATAAAAAGAAAGAAATATTGCCTTCTTGCATGTAAATATTGTAGAAGAGTTAATGATTGTAACCTGGATGTTTTACATTCTGAGATGCTATTAAATCAATATCCATCACAAAACTATTGATAATTTTTTAGAAGAACAGAAGAGATCTCATCATATGAAATGCAGTGGATCAATTGTAAGATGCAGGCTAACTCCAGAGTAAGTAAAGCATGGAAAAAAATCTGTCTTAGAATGGAAAAATACAGTGGTGAAACTATTTTTAACTAGAATTTAAATGCAACATTTGAGGATATGAAGCCCGCAACTCATTTTGAAAACTACTGGCTCAGATGACCTCAGCGATAGGAAACCTCTGAAAGATCATTAATCTAATCATAATGTTCTGTGCCTTTGCCTGAGAGTCTATCTGAAAGTGGTGCAGTTTTTACAGAAGAGGAATAACGTGTTCCAAACTGGGAACCCTTCACAGGTCACCATTCGGGTGGTGCTTCACTGTGGAGTTTTGGTCAGCAGAGGGCTCCAGGGACTGCTGGGGAAGGCCAGGACATGGAAAAGGGCCTAGAGCCAGGGTTACCTGGGAGACAGTGGACCCATTTTGCCAAGCACCTGAGGACCATGCCATACAGGACCCTCTCAAAATCACTCGTACACTATGTGGGAACAAAGAATAAGAGAAATTAATGTGTACTTAGCATGTGAGAGCCGAAATTCACAGTCAGCTTCAGCAAAGAAATCCATACAGAAGGATGAAGTGCACATTGTGAGACAAAGAACACCCAATTATAAGATAGAAAATCTCAGTTCTGGAAAATTCCTGAACCTGTTTGCCCATCCATGAAAGAGGAATAGTGATACTACCTTCTCCACCTTTTTTCTAACAGAACTGCACAT